TAGGTGCTAAACAGATCAAAATTGATAATTTAGATACTAAATACGTAGTTTACCTTAATATTAATATATGAAAAATAATAATAAATAAATAAAGAAGAAAAGGTCAAACCCCACTTTCTCCTTTTATTATACCTATTACTCTTTCTTATAATAATTTTACATAATAATTATTAGTTGTCAAAAAGGGTAGGAATAATTAAAGAAAGGGTATTTTGGTTTTTGTGACTAATTTATAAATTATTTAAAAGAAAAAAAGGCAGTCCTTTGCATAACAACATAGTTTTGTTCTAGAGAAAAATAATAATTAATTTCATTTTTTAAAACATATTTGGACCACGAACTAAACGATTTCGGTGATAAAAAAATTATTGTTATTCCTTGAGGTCCTGAGTTCGAGCATTAGGAATGTCAGGGGTGTAGGCGTTTAATGTCAAATTGTTGAGTATTATTTTAAAATATATATTGTCTAGTACTTTTCCCATATTAATAAAAAATCAGGGGCTATATCCATATAATAATGAAGAAATTTAAGAAATTAAATAAAATGACCATTACAATGTTCTTATAAGGGTAAAATTTTGATAAATTTAATAATCATTTTATAATAATTTGATAAAATTTAATACATTTTATAATAGTTTGATAAATTTAAAAATTATTATGTAAATTTTAAAAGTTCAATGACCAAATCGATCATATGAGCATATTTTAGGGGCTTCTAGTGTACTTTACTCTAAAATCTTTAAGTGCTGTGTTGCCATTTCGAATATATTTCGTTTTATAATTTTTAATTTCAATATTGTTTTAGGGATAAATAGACTCTTAGTCTCTAAATTTGACAAAATTTTCAACCTGGTCACTAATTTTTTTCCCATGTTATTCCTTAATTCAATAACTTTTTTTATTTTAGTCATTTTGATGATATGATACTTTAGGATTGTGTTACGTGTCATATTCTTAAAGTGGCACATCATTAAAATAATCAAAAATCTAATTTCAGTGATTAATGCTTACGAAAAATAATTTAAGCACTAATATGAAAATTGTAACCAAATGCAGGGACTTAAATTTATTTTATCCCTGTTATTTACGAGGGAGATTTTTGCCCCCAAATCAGCAGCTAATTGAAACCCGCGTTCCTCTCGCTCTAGATTTCTCTCCCAACCAAATCTCTCTCTCTCGTTTGGGCTTTGATTAATGGAACCCAGAAAAAAAAAACTCAAAAAAGGAGATTTTTTTTTGTACATTTAGATAAACTAAATGATACCCATTGTATGGTTACATCTGCTCGATCTGAGGTTGCTTTCTCTCTTCATCTTCAACTGTGAAAAAATTAGCTGACCCTATTCCTATATATAATGGGGGTAAGGGAAGGTACGGTAGTAGCCTGCTCCAACGCTAGGCGGGTAATTCTCCTTTTTGGATCTTCAACTGTGAGTGTTTCCTATTTGGGATTTTCTCAATTCTCACTTGTTTGGAGTTTCCAGCGTCAGTTTTCAGCTTGATTTCTTGAATTTTGGATCTTGAACTGAACCTTGAGCTTGCAAGCGACCGGTCGAAAATGGGTTGTTCTTATTTGGTGGATTGATGCGTTAAAAATGACAGTTTTTGAAGTTAACCTCTTAATTGATAAATAATCCTAAGCTTTGGTTATTGAATTTGTACATTGTATTTGTTTGATTCACTATTTCTCTATGAGCCTCATTGGTTGTGAGGATGTGTATGTTCAGATCAGTTTCTGGGTATTTTTTCCGATGTTATTGAATTTGATCCTTTTGGAACATGGAAAGTATAGTTTAAAGCTTGAGATTATAATGTGTGGGTATTTAGGTTTGATCCTTTTGGATTTCTTGGTAAAATTGTGTTCTATGCTTTGTCAAACTAAACTAATTTTTTGAAGAATTTATGTATGTGTCATTGCAGGAATTTGTGGCCTTTGAACCTGGGGCTGCTAAGTTGTTTCATTTGGTTTTCTAAAACTTAAGCAGTGGAGTTTTGGGAATGTTGATGCCTTAACTAGCATGAGCCAAGCTGAAGTATCAAGGATGAAGCCGCCTCTTGTTCCACTCGCGACCTTAATCGGTCGTGAACTGAAGAATGAGAAAGTCGAGAAGCCTTTTGTGAAGTTTGGAAGGCTGCTTTGGCCAAAAAAAGGAGAAGATTACTTTCTGATTAAACCTGATTGTGAGGGGATTCCCGGGAATCCAGCTACATCTTTTACAGTGTTTGCGGTACTTTCTTTCTCCTCCTCCTGCCCACCCCTTTCCTTCTCTCTCTCAAACATGAAGGATGTTGGCTTATCAGCTTAAATAGAACACGGTCGACTCCTCTTGTTTGGTTTTGAGGTAATGAAGAATGAAAAAAAGATAATTTGAATCATATAATGTGGGAAAAAGAGGACTTGCTGAGTACGAGAATGTATGTTCTTGTTTGATTTGTATGCATAACAAACAGTGCCATAGTCTTATGGTTCAGCTTTTCTCTCGTACTAATAAACTTGAGCACGATAAATGTATCATTACTTTTGATGCTTGTGGAGATTTCCTAATATCGGTTTTATTCACAGATTTTTTATGGGCATAATGGTATATCAGCTGCCATTTTCGTGAAGGAGCACTTATTGAATAATGTCTTGAGTGCAATTCCACAAAGTGCCAATAGGGAGGATTGGCTTCAAGCACTTCCTCGGGCTCTGGTTACAGGTTTTGTGAAAACAGACATTGAGTTTCAGCAGAAAGGCATGTATTCATTTCTATTGCATCGCACTTCTTCTCTCAGTCAAATTCTGTTGCGTGCTTAACTTTGTAGTCGTTTATATTGATTGCAGGGGAAACTTCTGGGACAACAGTTACATTTGTTGTGATTGATGGATGCACTGTCACTGTTGCATCTGTTGGTGATTCTCGATGTATATTGGACACCCAAGGGGGTGTAGTTTCTCTCCTGACCGTTGATCACAGGCTAGAAGAGAATGTAGAAGAAAGGGAGCGTGTCACTGCCAGTGGGGGTGTAGTTGGGTGACTTAATGTTTTCGGTGAAATGAAGTATTTCACTCTTACAATATTTGAAGTTTTCATTCTTTTGTCTTCTTTTTTCATTTGGAGGAATTAGAGGTGGCGGAATGGGGTTGTTTGTGAAAGTTATTAATAGTCGTTACATTTATGGATTGAATCTCTGTAGGTTGGTCCCCTCTGTTGCTGGCCTGGTGATTATGCCTCTCTAGGTCAATTGGTGACACAGATGTTGTGGAGTTCATTGTCCCAATTCCGCATGTTAAGCAAGTGAAGGTTAAATCTCCATGTCATTGTTGCTGATTTATTAATTTCTTCTGAGCATTGAAACCCTGAATCTTCTTTTCGGTTTTATATTAGTTGTCAAATGTTGGATGCTTTGTCTTCAGACATGGCTGCCAAGTCTTGTCGGGGATTAACGGCAGAGCTTGCTGCAAAACTGGTTGTAAAGGTGAAATCCAGACCGGTGCCTTTTCATTTTACTATCCACTCAATAAACCTTCATATTAATTTTTGCTTTTAATACCCTTTTTAGGAAGCTTTAAGGTCAAGGGGCCCGAAAGATGATACAACGTGCCTGGTTGTTGATATTATTCCTTCTGACGTGCCCGTCCTACCTTCAGCACCTTTGAAAAAGCAGAATGTGCTCAGTTCTTTGCTTTTTGGGAAGAGGTCTCTAAATTCTATAAACAAATCTACAAGTAAACTCTCTGCTGTTGGAGTTGTTGAAGAACTATTTGAGGAGGGCTCTGCAGTGCTTGCTGAAAGGTTCGTATGTTGCAACTTTACTCGGTCCTAATTTATATTTTAATTTTGCCTTTTTCATATTATATGCATCTTGTGGTAGCATATTAGTGCCTCTGAATAAATTGGCTGAAGTTGCTAATGCTTGCTGAAGTTACTAATGCAATGCAGGTCATGTATATTCTCACAAGTAAATTCTATGTTTGACGCACTTCTTGCAACCAATCACTCGATTGTTTTTGATATCGAATTTGCGCCTAGTTGGTTGTTTATCAGGCAAAAGAACCAGTGATTGTTTGGAAGTTGGCACTTTGAGTTGTTTGAATATTTTTATTACCATGCTGCAAGCAAGGTTTTCCAGGTTTTATATCTGACCAGCAAACGAAATATATCAGTCTCTAATCCGCACCGATTTTCATAATAAAAATGTGCAGGTTGGGTAAGGATTTTCCCATGAACACAAATTCCGGGATCTTCAAATGTGCGGTCTGTCAAGTCGATCAACCTCCAGCAGAGGGTTTAACCCTGAACTCTGGACCATTTTTTCACCCGCTTCAAAGCCCTGGGAAGGACCCTTTCTCTGCGCAAACTGTCGGAAAAAGAAAGACGCCATGGAAGGAAAAACGACTAGCACACCCACGGTGATCATGTAACATCATAGTCAGTTACCAAGTAAATATAGATGTTTTTTTGCCCTGGCAGAGTGAACATGCTTCGTTTCCCATTACCTGGTGAATGCATTGGAGATGCGTGTTGCAGATTCAGAGTTAGGTGTTTTGCCATTGTTGTTTTCAGGAGTTTACATCCGTGCTAGGCCGTTTCGCCGATCAACTCGGGAAGAAGATGATGTCTGATAGATTTCTTGATCATAGTTTGAATTGCTAACCGCTTGAATTTGTAATTAAAAGTGACGATTGCAAGCAATATATGTATCTCATATTCCTTTCTGCGTTAGATTTTATTTTTGATTAAGCTAAGGTAAAATAGTATAATCACCAAGTACTCTCGGGCATTTGACAAAGAATACTCTTTGTTGGTGTTCAAGTTTCATAGTTCAATATCAGCAACATTAGGAACTTCATTAGAAACCAATACTAAAATAAGTAAATACGGAAGTAAAAACAAACCCTTAGCAAATAAACAAAATTCACCCTTAATAAGTATGAAAGGTTTAATTTAATATTTCCTCAGTCTGGCAGTAATCGACAATCTCAAATAGAAACCCATAATGCAATAACCGAAACAAATAAGGGACCAACTTGTCCTGTGTCACAAACGACCTTAAGTAGTTTGGTACAAAAAATTGAGAATACCAATCACCATCAGAAAGTCGGATTAACCACGTTATGCGTTTCGAGCTCTGGAAGGTCGCCAGGGTTCTGGCTTGTTGCTGCCCCCAGCAACACCTGGACGATCAGAACTTGGAGGTGGGGCCCTGCTACCACCACCGCCTAATCGATCGGGATCCTGCAGTGGAGCCCTACCGCCACTAGTCCAGCGATCAGATTGTGGTGGAGGGAGCCTGCTCCCAGCAGCCCATCTATCAGGTTCCGAAGGAGGTGGTGGACCAGAGCTATCAGGTCTTTCTCGACGGAACCTAGGAACATATTTTCCAGAAGCTGGAGCAGCAGCAGCAGCTGGAACAGTATTTCCAGGCACAGTTATCCGGGACCCAGACAGTAGCTCAGAAGGCCTAGCAACACCCTCTGTGGGCCTTCCCAAGAGAGCTTCTCGTCTCTGCTTCTCCTTCTCTTCCAATTCTCGTTCTCTCTGCCTCTGCTTTTCAGCTATCTCATCCATTTTCGCTTTGTATTCAGCTTCTTCTTTCCTTCGTCTCTCAGCCTCTGTAAATCCGAAGTGCCGATAAATAAAGTAGATGAAAGCATAAATTTCTATCATAATCACTATTGAAAAAAACTTGATAATATATCCTCTGAACATTTTTAAAGGAAATGTATCGAAAATAGGTCGAGTAAACTGTAATGTTTCTAAAGAAAGAAGACTAAGGGCTTTATCCGACTTCAAGGTCAAGTAAATTAAGAAGAATCAAATGAACGTACAAAACCGCATACCTTCATGTTTGCGAGTTTCTTCTTCTTCAAGTTGCTTTCTTATTCTCTCCTCCTCGGACCTCACATAGAATATTTTCTTTCTCTTAAGATCTCTTTCTTGCTTCTGGGCTTGAATTATTTGTTTGATTCTTTCTTCCCTCTCTACTTTCCGTTGGTCAAACTCAGCTTGCCGACGACTTATTACTCTTTCCTGGAATATCATCTGTAAAATGCAGAAATCAAATTTATGTTAAATGGCCAAATGCTATGGAAGAAGGAAGCTGCAAAGAAACTAGCAAGGGAAAATCTCTCATGAGCACGAAGCCTCATCCAACAATGGACATGGTACTGACCTTGTTTTCTAGCATACGTATCAATCTATTCTTCTCTCTTAAGTCCCCATCATGGCGCTGTCTGCTCAACTCAACTTCCAACTACAAGACGCAAACAAAATTAAAGAAGATATTATCAGAAGGTTGAAAATGAGGGGGAAAATACCTCTTAAGGAAAAATGTAAAGACTATACATCCAATCAAGATAGGGATGTGCAAAAGAAGAAAAGAGTACCTGTTGAGGGATACTAGGAATAATACATTATAGTATATGCACTTATGAGCATAAAAAGGTCGTGTTATGAAATCATTTCAATTGCAAAACAGGGAATTGAAGTTTCACCTGTTGCTCACGTTCATGAAGCACCTTCTCCTCTACCAACCGTCGTTGAAAAGCAGCTTCAATCAAGGGCGTTGCTTCCTCTCTCTTTGCTCTTTCAAGGTGGTCCATTGTTTTGGCCACTTTTTGTAGTCTCTTCTCCTGTTCCTGTCTTTCCTTTAGCTGCTCATTCATTGCACGCTCAAGCAAGGTTTGCTTTGTCAATTTCTCCTGGAAGAAACGGGATAGGGAAAAATAAATTAGCTTAAATTTGAGTTAGAATATAATGGAAAAAATGGCTACCCACCCCATCTAAAATTGGTTTCTTTTTCCCTTTTTTCAAATGCTTTTCAGTTTCCTGTAGCAGAGCCTGTGCCTCTTCAAGTTCCCGCTCCTCTATTTCCTTACGAATTCTTTCAGCACGCTGATGCTCAAAGACAGCAACAAGCCTCTTTTTTTCAGCTTCTTCAGTTTTCTTCTGCAGCATCAGCCTCTTTGACTCCTCCTCACGTTCCTAATTGATCGAAACACAATAAATGCAGAGGCATGAGTACACAAATCCATTCAGCTATTTCTAAGATGAAACTTAATGTGGTCCACAACACTAGTCATTTAAACAGAAATACCATTTCCAACAGTTGACGTTCTTGTTCTTCCTTTCTTTTCTCGATTATTGATTTCCGAGCAAGAAGCCTTTTGTGCTCCTTATCTACAATCTCTCCTAAACCAGGTAAAACCTCACTCAGTTTTGATGCTTTATCGGTAGAGGGATATATCATGGCTCTTGCTTTATTCAAAGATTCAGCAAGAAGAGTCAGGTGATCACGAAGCTTGTCAGATTCAAGACCCTGAAAATGCAAAAATAAGTAAAAGAAACTAATATGCAGACACATTATAAGAAATATGAAGCAAATTAATTCCTAGAAACATCCAGAAAGAAATAAGAATACACAACCCAAAATACTAACTTACCATATCACCAAACACCACAACACCCTTCATGTGGTCAACTTTCATGACTATGAACTTGTGTTTCACAGCATCAACAGAAATCTTTTCCACCATAGAAAAATCAAAAAAGGGAATTATCTGAGACATACTCTCAATTTTCATCGACTGGTAAACATGGGACACCTGATGAAGCACGGGGTGGAGAACATTGAGAAAATCGGGAATAAGTAACCCAAGAGGGCATAATGCAAATAGAAAGAACGATGAAACTGAAAAGAAAAATAAACACAAGAACAAACCTGCTTAAGCAACCTTAAGGTAGAAAGCTTTTCAAGAGCAGGAACATATTTAGAGAGTTGAACTTCTGGTACAGATGAAGCTGAACCTAACTTCCCACCGAGTTTTGATATTTTCAGAAACAGAAGTTGTATCTTCGACGCAGCATCCAGAGGGAGAAAATCATGTTCTAAAAGATGGTAAAGGTCTTTCACTTCTTGAGTCGCACAGCTAAGTACACCTTTGGAGACCTAACAGAAGAGTAATAAGAACATAAAGTTCAGTCAGTAAGATAACACCATCAAAAGTTTATCATTAAATAAATATAGAGCCAATGCTCCCGTGACTAAGATTATCATGAGAAAAAGCTATCAGATCAGTCAAAGCAACAATGAGATGACAAAATAAACAAAAGTGTTCGTAAAATTTGCACATACCAATTCTGTGAGAAGTGATGATCTTGAAAACTGCAAAAAGGCAGAATGTCAGAACTGATTAACAACAAGAAAACAGAGTAAAATAAAGTTGAATTAAATACATCATACCACTTCTCTGTTCTCAAGTTTAGTTTCAAGATTAAATCCTATAAGATTTGCCATTCGAATGTTGCGCTCTTTCTCATTTTCAAGTTCCAAATGTGACGCACCATGTGTCTGATCATAAGGGAGCACTGACAGTGCAGCCAAAATAACTGATGATGCTATCAACTGCAAATCTTTCTGGCTCAGGTTTTTATTGAAGCTTTTTTGTAGTGTAAATAGCTTCAACCATGCATAAGCATTATAAAGATGGCTTCCTGAAATCCAAAATATTTCTGTTAACTTGGCATAATAAACCACCATCAAGGAAGCCTTGGGGGTTTTCTTGACAATGGACATCAATCCATAAATATCTTCAACAGAACGAAAGGCTTCCTGCAAGGAAACATGTTAAATAATGATCATAAGCATGAATATGCAAGATATAAAACTCATCATTAAACAGAGTAGAAAATCAACGAAATAAACTGACCTGCCAGAGTCCAAGTTCAGTAGCAATTTTTAGCTGCTCAAATCTTGTATCAAGATAAAGTTGCAAGCTCTCTGGTGCTGACAAGTCAGGTCTGTCCCTTTGGTCTTTATATTTATTTAGATTAGCTAAATGGTTTCTTATGATTTCGCACAACCTTCGGAACTCTGTTGTTCGTTTATACTGCTTGCAAAATTGGAAGGCCCGATGTGCTGTCATCTACAAGATTTTCAAAATGGAAATATCGTCATTTCAATCAATACCAAACAAGATACTACTTGTTATATGTCTGTAATTTTTATTTATTTAATGAAATTTTAACTAAACATGTTGTATGAATATATACCTTCAAAAACTCAATTAAAACGTTCAGAAAACAATAGTAATTGAAGTATGATCCATAAAGTTTACAAGATGCACGAGTAGGCAAGTACAATGGTCTTTTTGTCTCTACCCTATAAAAAATGGCAAAAGAGGAAAAACGATTTCATGGGAAACATTCGAAAAAGAGAGAAGCGTGCAGCACAATTCACCTAATGCACCCAACACCATCTAATGTTAGTAAGGCCAGCACAGCCCTAAATGGCCTCAACAGTGCTGACCCCTCTTCCTGAACAATGCCAGTTTGGATACGACCACATCAGACTAGCACCAGATGGTGCTACCACATAAAGCCTATATGTCCACTGTGAGGGCAGCAGGCCAATACCAAAATATTTTTTTGTAATATTCTCTTTGTCCAGCAACCTAGTGAATCTTTGCAATTCATCTGATAACTTAAGTCTTATATTCCTTAGAACTTAACCTTACATGCTTATATATCCAAATGAAAAACTAACAAACCACCAGTTCTAAATACTTAATCAATTAACAGTTCAGCTCATCAGCCAGAGAAAGACTTCTTGAAAAATTCAGATAAACCACTAATGGTCCTTAATGCAAAGCAGTAAAGGGCTTCGTACTGAATTACAAAAAGAGAGTAAGCATGAAACTAGTGAACCAGTTATCTTAATGCCAAATACAAATTTTGTCAAATTTCATATTTTAGTCAGAACTTGAAAATTATCCGTATGGTTGTAACAAATACACAATATTTATAAGAAGTCATTAAGGCAGGAAATACCGCATAGAGTGCCTCTAACTTGGAATTGTTCCGCAATATTTCAAGCACTGTTCTGTAGGTTTCCCAAAGAAACTTGAACCAAGGAGTAACAAGTTCACGATCGGACCTATCCTTTCCTTTCTCACCACTGACATAACTTAGCATTAAATCTTCTGGCCTTTTATCAGCTTCAAGGTCATCGACATCAAGAGCTTCTTCTAGGGCTTGTGCCTCGCTACGAGCCTTCTCAGCTTTCTCAGTAGAAAGATGCATGAAGTGCTTGATCACCTCCTCCAAGGAACTAACATTAACTTGCTGACATACAATACGGTATTGAATCAGGCCATCCTTGGCGAACCGACCTTTGCGCATGTCAACACACAACTCTACATATTTGAACATTATCCTTTCGAGAGGCTTTTGCCAAGCTCTGTATCTTTTCGAAGTTATTAGATTGTGAAGCGCCTGCAAAGCATCTTGCTTCTGCCCAACATTAATCAACTCTGCATCAAACAAATCACAAAGTAGGTGCAAACACATCTATTTTAAAAAAAAATCAAAGCTCAAGGCAATAATTTTAATGCAGAAAAGCAATTAACAAAAAGCAACAAACAAAACCAAGCTTAATAAAGTAAATTTCTTTATTTCTAACCTTCTGCACGCTTCAAAGCATTCTCTGGTTTGGCAAAATTCGCCATGTTTTGTTATAAAACTCTTAACACTGCCTGCAATCGCCTGGAACAAACGCAGGCTTTTCCATCAATCAAAAATATAATTAATCGAAAAGCTAAAACCCTGAATATCTTCAAGAAAAGACCGAAATCAAAGCCGACTATAAGTTCGCAAGGAAAAAAACCAAAAAAAATACTGATTCATAAAAATGTAATTCAATATTGATGAATTTTTGCCTTAAATCTACTAAAGCAGATCAGGAAACCTAAATTACTTAAGTCGGCCACAGATTTCTTTCTTTTATTACTTTTCATCGAAAATTTGCAATAATAAAATGAATAAACAAAAACTCGAACGAAATATATGTAAAAACAGTATAGACGAAAATTCTAAAAAAAATAAACATGAGATTAAAAATTCGATAGACTCACATGAAAAGTGTCGACGGCGAGCAGTGTGGAGCAGCAACAGCAGAGATCTTTGATAAACAGGATGCGATTTAGGGTTTTTTTCCTTTTAAATAGGGCTTTCATTCTGAAGCCCGTTTGGAATCTGCACTAGTAGTCTCCAGCCCAAGCTTTTAATTTTATTTACAAAATGATACAAGATTTTTTCTCGGTTAAATTTTGTTATTAGTCCCTATACTTACGTAGGTTTTAAATTTAACATTTATATGCTTTTCAAGGTTCAAATTTTGTTATTAATCCATGTACTACACATAAGTTGTAGGTTTAGTTAATTTTTTAAAAAAAAATTGTTTTAAAAATCTTTGTAATTTAATTACATTGTCTCTAGCGATAGATCTAAAAATATTTTTAGGGTGGGTACACATATCTTAATAATACAATATTTTATGGGATGGGTACAAATAAAATTTTATGGTGAGCACAATTAATAAAATAGATAACTATTTAAAAAAATTGAACTTCAACTTAGGCTGAAAGTATATCTGCCATTGATCGTCCTTACATTATTTGGATCTTGAATGAAATACCAAAATAAAACAAAAGTTCATTCGACTATTAACTCCCGTTAACCTGATAACAAGAGTCTAACTTAACATTTAAAAAATAAAACAAAAGATCACTCAACATCCTTAAAAGTAGAGGTGGGTGTATGGGTTAGGGCCCGCGGGCTACCCGTTTAACCCATAACCCGTGCGGGTTTTGGACACCAAAAATTGAAGTCCGTTTAAATTGCGGGCTTTTTAGCCCGGACCATTAAACCCGCGGGTTTAATGGGTATAACCGCGGGTAGCCCGCGAAGCCCGCAAAAGCCCGCTTAATTTAAAATTTATAAAATTTTAGGGAAAATAAACTTAAAGAATTTTATAGAAAAAGAAAATAAATTACCTATAAATATGATGTTACTTATAACCATTGTAGTTCTTAAATTTATTAGGACATTTGTCATAATTCTACTGCTGCTTAATATTTTTTTCATTTACAATATCAAATTATTCTTCATTTTAAAAAATAAAAATTAAAAGATTTATATAGTATTTTAGTCTTATAAAATTTACATCATTATCACTTTGGTATTTAAAGATTTTTTTATTTAATTTTGACCTTTATATTTTTCATTAAGTATGTTATCCATTTCGTTCTTTAATTATAAAAAGTCACGTGATATTTTAATAATATATCACATGACACGTAATATTTGGATTAAAAATAAGAAAGAAAAGTAAAAGAAAAAATTGAAAACATACTTTGTTGAATTTTTCTGTTTGCAGACACTTCTGTGTCTTCATATTATAGCATTGAATAATTATGTTTTATGAAAATATAGTGCGGTTATTGTTTTATTTGTTTTTCAATTTGGTTATATAAGTGAATATTGTTTTTTTTTAATTTGAGTTTAAGTAATTATATCGTTATATATATATATTAATGAAAAAAAAAAAAAAAATATTTTATAATCATTTATGACTATTTAAAATAAAATTTAAATATTATTTATTTTTTGACGGTGCTACCTTCCTTTTCAAGTTACTGGATCATTTTTAAAGGTGTAGTAAGTTAGAATATTATTTTTTATTGCATTTAAAACATTTAAAATTATTATTATTTAACGGGCCGCGGGTAAGCCCGTTTAGCCCGCGGGTTAAATGACGGCTGCGGGTCTTAAAATTAAAGACCGTTTATGATTGTGGGCTTTTTAGCCCGACCGTTTAAGCCCGCACCGTCAAAATCCGCGGGCTAAACGGGCGGGTATACCCAGCTCTACTTAAAAGTCATTTATTCTAAAAGAAGGTGAACTTAAGTGGTTTTTATTTTATTTTTTGAATATCAAGCCGGATTTTCATTATTGAGTTAACATGACTTAATGATCAAGGGATCAATGTATTAAATTAATAACATAAGGGACCAAAATTGATATTTTTTAAATAGGTGACCAAAATCGAACAAACTAAAAGCATAACAGACCATCATTATAGTTTACCCTGAAATTTAATTTAAATTAAAAATGATTATTAGACATATCTCATGGGACATCCAATTTTGTCTCTTATTAGGATGGGATAGGGTGGTCCACACGTCTAGGTTGAGTAAACCCTCTTGCTTGCAAAGCTCATTGATTAAGAGACGTTTACACATTATCCAATTAGCCAATTAAGGTAATAAATTATTGGGTAAACTACACATTTAGTACCTAAACTATTATTTTAATCCGTTTTAGTATCTAAACTTTTAATTTTTTCAAAATCATACCTAACGTTTAGTTTTCATTTCATTTTAACAGCCACCGTTAAAAAACTTAACGCATATAGTAACTAAACTATCAATTTTAGTCCGTTTTAGTACCTAAATTTTCAATCTTTTCAAAACTTAATGTTAAATTTTGAACGGGATACTAAAATAAAATAAAAACTAAAGTTTTTAACAGCGGTATACTAAAATGAAATAAAAACTAAACTTTAGACATGATTTTGAAAGAATTAAAAGTTTAAGTACTAAAATAAACCAAAAGTGATAATTTAGGTCCTAACGTATAGTTTACCCTAAACTATTTTAGGTTCAACCAACGTACCACGGAGCATTCTTATCAGTATAACAACTTATTATTACACCGTGTGTCCTTTCTTTGTTGTGACAACCAACACTACCGATTGCATGGGCCTTTGTGTGTTTGCTTTTATTTTGGGTCTTAATTTATTATTTATTTTATAAGCATATTTCTTATATCGGTATAATGATTTGAATATAATACAAAATTAAAACTGAGTTTATTAGGTAAAATGATAAAAGTTTCCAAAATCTCAAGGGGTTATGTACAAATAAAACTAGAACAGCTATCAACCAAGAGATGAGGAGGATTATACAAGAATTGGGGATTCATTCATGATAATTTAGGGTTACAATGGGGTACAAATGGAAGAGAACCTAATTAATCCACATTTGATACAATAAAGACACTTTTCATACTGTAAGAAAAAAGGTACCTCATCTTTGTAGGTGATCAGGTGATTGATTGCTTGTGGTAGATGATGTTGTCCTGCCATTCGACACACCGTTATCCACTGGCGGACTCACTCCCCATTTCCCTTCAGATTCAGATGGTTCCATCACTTTCACGGTTCCGTCGCTCAAACCGATTGCGAATTGGTTTGGCTCCATAGGGTGTGCAGCCACAACAAGTGGGTATACAGTTTGGTTTCTGAAGAACGGGGCAGATCAACAGTCCGGTTATAGATAGTCCAGATGAAATGTCTTACAGGGAATAATACCACACAGATAACTTACACTTTTAAGATTGCCGGTGACAAGTAAACTGATGAGGCAATACGGCATCTAAGTTTCAGGCTATCAGCATCGAACACCCCGATATTGCCGTCACAAAAGGTAGCATAAACAGATTGGCTGTTACAGGAATATGTTGCACAAGATATGGGCGCAGGTAGTACATCTTGTGGAATCCACTGCAGCAAATGAAATGGCATTAAAATGTGTTCCCTCTGTGTAAAAGCAATAACAAATCATCAAACTCCATGCTACTTCTCGAGTTTCCTACCTGTCGAATGCGCTCCATCTTGGAGGCATCATATATTGCTATCTGTGTTTCATGGAATAACAGCATGTGAATCTGATCCGAGTGAAATTGAACCCTTGTGTCTCCTGTAGGTGCCTTTCCAGCTGGGATTTGGATTTCAACCGATTTCCTTTTCTCCCATGTATCAATGCTCCACACACACAACTGCAGAGAAAAGCAAGATGTTAGAAGTAATAGTATAACTCTAAAAAACTAAACCTGAAAACAGTTAATGAGATGCTGGAACCTGAAAAATACCAAGGAAATTAACTCGAAAAACTAACTGAAAATAAATTGTATATTTTCTATTTTTTTATGAGTACCAGAAGTTTTATTGCTTTCAAAACCCAAAGAGGAGATATAATCAAAATAAATATTACAAGCCAGGATACTACTTACATGAGCATCAGCACCTGATGAAACCAAGATACCGAGGTTGGTTGAGAAAGCCAAACCAGTTATCCGTTTTTGGTGACCTTTCAATTTTGTTTTCACCTAAAAAAGTTAAAAACAGATTGCATCATAACCTCTTCAGAGAGCATGATAATTAAATACAAGGGGAAGAATAAATACAAACGCTTCAAAAACTGTTAGGAGGACTCACCTCATCTACTCGAACATTGTAAATATGGATAGTTGAATCCTCCATTCCAATTGCTATGATATTATTATCCTTGGGATGTAATGCCAGGAAGGTTGAAGCTGGAGGAGAAGACATAAATGTCGTCATTGCCTGCAAATCATGTGTTTATTAGCACGCGAGACATAGAATACATTCAATACATGAGCAAATGAAGGCATACCTTGAAAGTCATCATGTTAAACAAAGAAACTTTTCCACCAGTGGCTGACATCACATATGAATCATTCTTCGAGAGTGCTATGCATGGTACTGCTTCTTCCAGGTTCACACCTGTGATATCATTAGTCATAAGAAGACCACTGTTCGGTAGCCAACGCTGTGGAGCTACATTGGTTGTGGCCTTTAAAGTTTAAAAGACTTTAGGTTTCTCGTCAAAGAAAGGAAGGAATTTAGAAAGAAAACGTTGAGAGAAAAATATTCTTATTTGAGATAAAGTATTGTACCTTCCCAGATAGATTCTGTTCACTGCGGGACCACTTCCATAGCTTCTGAACACCGTTTGACCCAAGTGCCAAAATACCAACAGCAGCATTTGTATATAGAAGCCGAACAACCTTTAAAGAGATGCAACGGTTCAGTGCCATGGTAGAAAAACAATGATACGAAACTGAGGTTAGAAGAAGTTCAACAGACCTTGCTGGAGGCTTCCGTGCTTTCAGGCAAGGTAACTAACCGATATTGAGCAGAATCCATGATTTCAGCTAACTGCCAGGCTTTAGCCTTGTCTATTGCATCATCCATTACTCTTGGCTTTTTGACACTTCTTCCCAATGGATCAACGCCATTCTTGGGGGAAACACAAATCCAAAACAACAAAGGCAATTGGAAGAACATCAAAAGCATGAAAAACACTTGAAAAAAAACTAGGTCTATTTGTATTATAAAAAGCTCAGTGGAAATACAAAATGTTCCTTATTGAATGAAAAGAGAACTGAAGGGGAGCGCCCATAAGCTAAAAAAGGATGCTGGACCTTAAATCTAACTCCTAATGTGCTTGTTGCAGTAACCAAGAGCAAGAACAAAAAGTTCCTTTCCAAAGGATGAACCATATGATTAACTATTGTATTCAGAAAAAAAAAAGTTTAAAAGGTAACTCAAGGTATATCCAGCTAACATACAAGTATAGGAGACGGCCTGACAGGAGAACTCCTTTCCGCTTTACAACTAACAGGACTGACATTGCCAACTGCTGAAGAGCCAGAAGCCTAACCAACAGAGAGAAAACATAAAAACATCCCGGTATTGAGACATCAATATTCTTAAGGAAACATTAAGCAAATCTAAACAATCATTACCTTAATTCCAGTAGAAAGAATGGGTGTTCTCAATGGATCGAAAGTTGATGTTTCAGTTGCTCTTAAAGATCTGATACCCACAGCATTTGCAAGTATTTTGAATCCATTGTCAGCTGTTGTCACAGCCAGGAGATTTCCTTCCTTGTTGAATTTCACACGGGGAAGACTCTGAAGCAATTAATGTGATATGTTAGACCTTCTATCAAAAAAAATGTGATATGTTAGACACTCAACCTAGTAGCATATATGTAACATGTTTCGCAAAACAGCTATGAGATTTGAACATTTAACTTACAGGGAGCCCACCCTCAGAATCGGTGGAAGTGAGAAGATTAATATTATCCATGTCCCAAAACTTTATTTGGCTATCTTCTCCTGCAGCTAGAAAATGATTTTGTGTTGTGTCAAATGAAACCACGCCTGCTGATTTCTTTCTGAACCCCACATAAGTCCTCTTTATTGCTCCTTCACTTTCATTCCACTCAACCAGAAAAGATTCTCCATCTTTACTAGTTCCGCAAGAGAACAATCTGAAACAAAATCAGAAAAAGTTCAAAACTAGAATGAAATGAATTACATATAAAATTTGACACCAAAAGCTCAATTAAAGGTGTTAAGAGCATTTTTCATTTTTGCAATAAACTCAAAATTCTTAACGGTAAGAAATTATATCTTAAGATTCATGATCATACCTACTTCCATCAGCACTGTAAAGCATTGTAGTACACCAGTGACCTGGGGCATCATAGTCAACTCTTGAACCCATATTATCATACAGCCAGGCCTTAATTTTCCCATTCACAGCAGTTGAAAATATAAACTGCAATAACGTAGATGATGACCACATGAGAGTATAAATTGGCATCCATACAGCAAAGTAAACATTCAATTCTAAGCCAAAAAAAGCATTTTAACTGAACCGACAAAAACTATATGTCCATAAGACACTGGCCTAAAATATTAGATTGAATCAAATATAGTGGAGCAGTATAGCACCGAGGGGAAAGTTCTAACTAGGAGAATGGAAATGGTTTTGCTAAATCAGGCAGCCCTGTGGTGGATTAACTGAATGTGGAATCATAAATTGCAGAAGGAGAGAGCAGATTACTAAATTAAATTTCATGCTTTGAACAAGTTAATTGTGACGGTGACTTCAGGCGGACAGACTGAAAAGTATATGTAATTAACAACTATGACATTTTATTTTACCTGAATGTTCTCTTTATGATGTGGGCAGATGGAATAAACTGGTGCATCATGACCTTCAAAATTAAACAGTTTTTGTCCAGTCATCGAATCCCATACCTGCTCCATTTCTTTCATTAAGATAACAAGAAACATCCAGTATAATCAATACCTCTAAAAAACTTAATACCTCCTACCTTTATAAGCTTGTCATCTCCACATGTAACAATGCACAGCTGTTTGTTTGGATGAGCAAAGGCTAAGTCATTTACACCACCAATATGGGCATCAATCTGTTAATAAGAAAAGGTCAGACGCTAGTTATGAATCCTTTTAGCTGGAGAAGTATAAAAAATGACTTAACCTCCAAGTGCTGGACTAGATCATTTGATCCAGGATAAGTATACAAATGAAGTAGGTGTTTGGAAAATGCAACCCCTGCAGCAAGAAAGGCAATAAGCACAAACATATGCACACTAAAATGATAGTAATCTATCAAAAGGTACACACCTACAAAACTTCCATCAGGACTCCATGTGACACAGCTGACAGATATTGGTGTATCATTGACCATTAAAGCCTGCAGTAACTCTTCTAACAAAATCAATTGCAATGTTGAAACACATAGAAATTGATAAAATAGACATGGGTCATATGACAACAGTTTGATAGACATTGGA